CGTCCTCTTCATGATACCCCTCTGGCTCTCTTCTTCCGTAGGTCGCTGGCATACGCTGGAGGTTTCATGCCAGTCTCGGTGGGGCTGCCATGGGAGCCCTGTGCGCCCCTCTTTGTGTCTTGGGCTCTGCCAGCCCCGTTCTGTCTCATGCACTGCTTAGACCACCCACCCCCCCCAGGGCAGGGTCTGGCCGGCGTCCTCACGTGTGATAGTCTTTGACACAGTAGATGTTGTTCTCCATGTCCACCGTGAACGGCACTCCGTCCAGGCACTCATTGCACACGATGCAGCGGAAGCAGGCCGGGTGGTACGACTTTCCGAGGGCCTGCAGGATCTGGAGAGGGAAGCAAAGAGACGCCCAAGGGTACCGGAGGAGCTCAGCGCTTCAGGCTGGGAGTTCAATTCCCCTGCCGGGCCTCCTCCTCAGGGGCTGGACTTGGGAGTTCAATTCCCCCGCTGGGCCTCCTCCTCAGGGGCTGGACCCCATGATCCCTAGGATCCCTTCCAGCTCTGAAGTTCTAAACTGACAAGGATGATCCTGAGGATGAGGAGGATGATGGCTTCTGGGAGTTTTAGTCCAAGAGCATCTGGGGACCCCATGTGGGGGAGCCAGATGAGGAGGATGATGGCTTCTGGGAGTTTCAGTCCAAGAGCATCTGCCCTAAAGCGCACGGTCCATGGATCTTGGGGGAGCCTGGGCAGCCTGGCCAAGCCACGAGAAGAGGAAGAGAAGACGCCCCAGACGTTAAAACCCAGGGCTCTTACCATTTCCATGATGAGGTGCCCACAGATGAAGCACTTGTCCGCCGTTTGCTGAAACCCTGAATACTGGTCAGGAAAGAAGAAAAGAAGAGAAAGAGAGAGAGAGAGAGAAGCATGGTTACCAACCCCATTACACTTTTGTACTAGTTCTAAATCTTCTTTGCTTTACAAGTGTTTCCCCCAGAGAGAGAGAGAAAGAGAGAGAAGCATGGTTACCAACCCCACTACACTTTTGTACTAGTTCTAAATCTGCTTTGCTTTACCAGTGTTTCCCCCACATAAACAACAACAAACAACAACAACAACAACAACAAAGGAAATCTTGCCGAAGGTGGCGGGCCCCACGGCCTAAACTGGGAACGTGAGATGCCAAAATGGTCCCGTAAAAGCCTTCGCCTGAAACTTCTTCGCTCAGGTATCCATGAGTCAAGGGGCTGCCGGATGGAGGGCCAGAAGCATCTCGGCGCGGCGCCGTGAAGACTCACTGCTCTATTTCGATGCGAGCTTTCGTGGACAGAACGGTGGACTTGTCCACGAAAGCTCACATTAAAATAGAGCAGCGAGCCTTTAAGGTGTCACAACATTTTTGTCTTCGTTGTTATTTTTATTTTTGCTTAATAGGCTAGCCCAGATGAACACGGCAACCTCCTCAACAAGGATTTCGTCTTTCCTCAGCTTCTCAGGACTCGCACCGGTCGATGTGTTTTGGAAACAAGCAAGAAGCAGCCTCCAAAATTGGCACGGATTGGGAAGGGGGAGGGAGGAGGCTGGCCACGAGCCAGCTGACCTCAGCCCTCAGAGCCTGCAGGAGGAGAAAGCTTGGATGGTGAAGGGGGCAGGGGGGGGAAGGTGCCTTCCACCCTCCCGAAACCAGCCCCCTTTCGCCTCCGAAGTCTTCCTAGACGTCTGTGCGGGGTCCTTGCTGTGTCAGCCGCGTTCCTTGAAGAGGATGGAGACCAACACCTGAAACGGCAGAGCCCAGCCGCAAAGGAAGAGGTGTGGAGGAAAGATACAGGCGGTGTGTTCAGAAGGTCTTCTTCCCAAACGAGCCACTCACCTGAGAGCAGCCACGGCCTTCAGGGGTCCTTGCCACCAACCAGCCGGCCACAATCTCCTCCCTGGAATTCCACCCGGCTAATGTTTAAGCCCTTATTTGCTATGGGGTGGACTTTACCTCCCCTCGGTTCAGTTCACCATTAATGCGATGCCATGGGCCTGCCCTCCGCTCTTCTCCTGCCGGAGCGGTCATGCCCTGTCAATGCCGGCCACTGAGCCAACGCTTCAGTCCAATATTTGATTATCTGAGTAAACGGAGGAGGAGGAGGGCTGCTCTAAAGCTTGCCTTCGAGCCCCATCCTACAGATAAGGCTCGGGGCTCCGGGCAAGGCCAGGGCAAAAGGTGGGACGTCTGAGCCAGACTAGCCTTGACGGCCTAGCGGGGGGGGGGGTGCGGGAGGCGTGCTCCTCTTTGGAGCCAGGCCCTTGCTGAAGGGGTGCTCAGCACTCCCTGGCACAGGCAGGTGAGGGCAGAGCTTGGACCACCACCTGGTTGGCACTACACGGCCCAGAATCCCTTCGCTCCTGTTCTGCCTCTCTCTTCTTCATCTGGAGAGGCACAGTCAGTCCTGGAAGAGCCCGGGCTCCCACCCACACATCCCGCCCTGCTTCTCTCCCCTTGGGGGGCCTGGTAGTTTCCCACCCACCCCCATGCCACTGTGCCACCCTCCACGGGCTCCGCTGAGGACCAGACCACAATTTATGGCCCATACTTTGCTGACGTTTGCATGCACTTAAGCACAACCAGGCAAGCGGTCCCAGGAGACTTTTCAGGATTCCTTAAAAATACTCTTCAAATGGAAAGCAGGACGACTCTCAAAGAGGTCTTGGAGAGAATATGGATAACGCGGGGAGATTTTTCACAGAAGTGGGACGGTTCAGACTGAATGGACTCTGGGGGGGGGACGCCATCTGAGTTGGCTCCCATATGGGCCAGGAAGCATCCTTGAGCCACTGGGACACCCAAATCTGTTGCAGGGATTCAAACGCCATGGGGAGAAGGCACATGTCCCAAAGCCACCACGTTTATGACACAGCCTTTCCCCAGCCTGGTGTCATCTTCCGATTGTGTTGGGCTACAACGTCTCTCAAACCTGGCCAGGGTAGACAACGGCCATGCTGACTGAGGATGATGGTAGCTGTAATCTAGCCCCCATCTGGAGGGCACCAGTTCCTGTCTCATCAGCCCAGGAGTGACCCACACAATCCTTTCCACTGGCTTGGAGAAAGGACTGCACCCCCTTCGGCTGGGGGCGCATTTGGCTGACGAGGAGAGGAGCCTGAATCGGACTCCATCCGGACTGACATTTCTGACTAGAGTAGACCCGCTGAGACAAGAGGGCTTGTGCATTCACACCATGAAGCCGTTGACCCAACGGCTCTACTCTGGTTGGGACAACCACCGACTTGAAGGTGCTTTCCCTTTTTTCAATTGCTTTGAATTCCATTGTGTTTTAAATCCTTTTGATGATTACACTGTCTTGTTTATCCTTTTTTGGGGTTATCCCAGTTGTTGTGGACTGGTTTGAGTCCTAGTTTCAAAATAAAATCAAGACAGGCGGCAGTTTCCCAAGATGCCTGAGCAGACAAGCTGATGCGAAAGGCTCCCCCCCCCAAGGGCTCCTCCAGGCTGTTCGCACTGGTGCCCCTTCCTGCTTTCTGCTCCTCCTTTTCTTCTCATATTCCACCAAGGAAATGGGACAACATCAGTCACCAGAAGACGGCGGATGATGACAACCAGGGCCATCTGGCTAGTTTTTAGCCCGCTTCCTTTTGAATGGCCAGTGACCGCAGAGCTTGGAGAAAACAGGTGGCAAGTTTCTGGAGGTGCAGACGGCACAGGCTTATCAGCGGTATAAACCCAGCTAATTCTACTCTCCAGCCACATTGCATTTAACCGAACCATCTGGCTGTCATTTGATAAGAAATGCAAAGGAGCCTTTATTGATCAACAGGGAATAGGCCTTTTGCTGAGGAGAACGGCCTTGCGGGCTCTTTTCAGCCACAGACGTTTCCTCGGGTGGCCATAAATTAGGATATTTTAAAGAGAGAAAAGATAAGCTGACCCTAGCGCCACTAAGCCAATTTCCTTCAGTCCCTATTTTGTGCTTAATGAGGATACTGCATTTTAAAAAAATAGACAGGAACAAGAGCAGGATTTTTCATTTTGGAAACAATACAACACGATTGGCCTACAAATTCAACAACACAACCAAAGGGTGCATCATGGGACCTAGTGTTCCTGCCATGCCCAGATACAATGGTGCCCCGTTTGACGATTACCTCGTTAGATGAGGAAATTGCTTTACGATGAAGTTTTTGCGATCGCAAAACAATGTTTTAATAGGGAAAAACCGCTTTACAACGATTGGTTCCCTGCTTCAGGAACCGATTTTTCGCTTAACAACGATCTTTACAGCTGATCGTCGGGTCTTCAAAATGGCTGCCCGCTGTGCAAAATGGCTCCCCGCTGTGCTTTAGGACGGATTCTTCGCATTACAGGCACCAGAAAATGGCTGCCCTATGGAGGATCTTCGGTGGATGCTGAGATATTTTGCCCATTGGAACGCATTGAACCGGTTTTCAATGCATTACAATGGGCTTTTTCATTTCGCTTGACGAGGATTTCGCTTAACAGCAATTTGAACGGAACAAATTATCCTCTTCAAACGAGGCACCACTGTACTGATCCAGAGGAGCCTCAAAAAGCCAAAGCCAAACCCTTTTTGTACTGTGGTTGCATACACAGGGGTCCAGACGTTGCTCCGAATGAGATGCCACTGAATCGGCTGCTCCAGGTGTAGGGTGGCTTTGCAGCAAATGGGAGGGTATTTCCCCTTCAGCATTTTAGCACTGAATAGTCTCTTCCTCTAAGTCATTTCTGAACATTTCCTTAGCTGGCTCTAAACCACCGAGTGAAGATTCTACTCGAAAGGAACAAAAGCCTCCCAGCATCTAAACCAGATGCAGCCGGGCGGGCGGGTCATGGGATGCTGGGAACGAACGGTCACACCAGCACAGCCAGCAGAGAACGTGTGGAGAAGGGCGGACCTGCCCAAGCCGAAAAGCGGGCGATACTTCGCTTCCTTGCGATACAAAAACACTGACTGGAAACATTGCCTTGTTTTAAATATTCTGCCCACATTGTTTAGGTTTTAAAGAGGAGAGGGATAAACTCCACCTCGCATTCAGCTTCGCAACGGGAAGCGCCATCCCGGATTTTAAAAGGTCTCTGTTTGTTTCCCGGAGAGGCACCAGAAGCTGCGGACAAATTTAGCACCATTACGGGCTTCTCCCAGGTAGTGTTTGGGGCTGACTTCAAAGTCCACAGTTATGGGACCTCCGCCAAACGAACAAAACAAAACCTCTTCCATCTCCAAGCCTGAATCAGAAGAGTGAAACAGAAGCCATTCCTCAATACAGCCCCCGCCTGCCATCCCCACGATCAGAACCCACCCTATTTTCAAGGGATAAGGCCTGTTGAGGACGGCACACAGCAAGGCAGGTAAAGGAGGACAGCCGGGGTCCCATGCCCAGAATCTTAACAGGAGGCGTTAAAATGACCCACATTTGCTTCCCCTAATAACCTTGGTAGCCATCATGCAGTTCCGACGAAGGCCATTTGCTTTCATTTAATATCCACCCTACCCCACCGCCACTAAGACACAGAAAGCACTGAAGTATTACTTACAAGGAAGTCTTCCTCGCAGTAGACATTTCCGTTGACATTGTAGAACGCCTTTCCCCGCAATCTTCTCCCTGTTAAAAATATTGCACAGTCAGACCCCGGGTCTTCCACTTAAGCAGCTGCTGAAAAAAAGGGGGGAAGTGGAAATGGAGGGGAATTTAATGCAAATTCCTCCACAGAACCTGGGGGGGGGGGAAAAGAGAGAATGCACTTGCTAATGGCACTCGCGGGGGAGCATTTAACTCTCATCCTTCCACCCCTATCCCAATTTCCTACTTCAGGGGGCTTCCGAGTATTCACAACACACCAGCCTTCCTGAATAAGATGTCGATTTCCTTGCAAGATTAAGAAGCAGGCAGAATTTAACCAAGGGGGTCATTCCCAGTGGGGCCATCCTTCGGACAAAAACCTAGTGTCTATGAAAGAATTTCTCTGCATCTTCAGTCCTTCGCAGCGCGCTTGTGTTCCACCGAGACCCAGGGTGTGGATCTGAAGGAAATTAACTTAAGGATGCTCATAGAAGGCGGCGGGGGGGGGGACCCTTTCCATCCCTTCTTCCTCTCTTGAAAAGACTTGGGGGTCTTGTCAACAATGTGGGGAGAAGCAGAAGTAACTGCTGGAGCAGCGAAATCCCCCCAAAAGGGTTGCGTCAAAGTGGGACACATCCTCCTCTCTCACATCAGCCTACCTCGTCTTCATGGACTTGATTAATTGTTAAAAAATATATCCATTTAAACTCCACTTCATCCAAGGACATTGGGGCAGCACACAAAAGGTATAAAACACAAAATATGCCATAATAAAAGATATAATAAAAACTAGCAGAGTTGATGAACACAAGCCAGCGCAACAGTTTGCAACACTGGGGGCAAATAAGGATATTTTAACTTGTCACCGAAACAATCCTCACGCTGGTAACCAAGTGAAGACCCGCGAGGGAGCAAGACCCTTTATTTCCCTGATTCTTCTGCAACCCATTTCTCCTCGGGAAGAAACCCAGAGAACGGCCTCCACCTTTGATGGAAGCCAGAGCGCCTTCAGCTGTTTAGATCCCGAGCCTTTTAGAGTTTTAATAGCGAGCACCAGCTTCTTAAAATTGGCTTGGAAACAAAGAGGCATCCAGGACAACTCTGAACGGACTGGACCTTGTTGAAATTCCAACAAGTGTTCGTTCCTTTCTTTCCGCCTCAAAATTGTCTTCAAGGGTGGCACCGCCCACAAAGCATTGCAGTAGTCCATCCTGGAGATTACCAACACCACAGTACTGGGCGTCTTGCTCCCATCTCAACTGAGCTGTCCAGCTGTCTTGCTCTGAACTCCTTCCCTCTCCCTGGGCCCCCTCTTTCTACATAGACCACCTTCGCCATGCCACATGGTGCTATCTCTCTCCCCAGCACAAGCTGGGAGGGTGGCGAGACAGGAGTTGCCCCAGTTCTGTTGACTGATAAAGATGGTGTCCTAGGAATTCACTTGAAAGAATTCTCAGACCCACTTTGGTTTCTGTATTCACCACTAAGAAGCCACGCACGTTCTTCCGATGCAGCGGTGGGCTCGTAAATTTGGACGCAGAAGGGGAATGAGAGATCAAAATGCTGGAAATCGAGGAGAAGGTCTTTTCTAGGGCTAATGGCTCTTCATGGCCCACTCAACCCCGCCCCTCCCATAAACACCACACAGGCTTTGCTTTGCAATACGGAAAACCTGCAACAACCTACAATCTGGGGAATGGCAGCTAAACTCAGAGGGAATAAGAAAAGACTCAACGGGTAGCCAGTGAATTCCATCATTCCTAATATTTGGCAGGTCCTGGGACTCTGATGCCGTGACACCACTGGTCCGATGCAGAGGTTTAAGCCAAACCTCTGAGGAGATGCGTTTCTCTTTCTCTGCCCATTCCACCCTCTGGGTCATCTTCCCCACCCCAGGTGCTGAAGCAGGAACGCAAGCTTCTTGAGGCAGGACCCCATCTTGCCTTGAATGCATAAAAGCCTCCTGCACAAGTTTAATCCCTTATTGGGGGGGGGGGAGAAGGCTCTACCACAGTTCTTTTCTTCCGAGCTTCGTGATGGAGCGGGACCAAACGGCTGCCCATCAGCAAACCCCAATTGCATTGGGAGGTCAAGCTTGGCCCAGGAAGACAGGTGAGGGACGAGGTAAGATGAGGACCCCCCCCCCAAGACAAGGCTGTGAAACACCCACCCACACCCTGAAGCCCATGCCTTTCAGTGCAAGGTTCCTCATGAGCAGCCGGGACTGAGAGGAAGATGCTGTTCATCAGGACCACAGCCAAGCCAAAAGGGGAGCTCAGCTCTAGAAACCAAGCAAGGCGGGGGAGGCAGCAGCCAAGACGCTGCTATGCTTGGCGGTGTGCGTGTGCGTGTGTGTGTACCACATGCCACTGGTGCACCGGCCTCCCACAGGTAGGAAGCATCGCTGGGTTGCACCAGCAACAAGAGATGCAATGCTTTTTTTTTCTTTAAAGAAACACCACTGCATTAAAACCTAGTGGTATGGCAGGAAAAATGATGAAAGGTTGAGAGATTTAAACAGAGGTCAAAAGAGGGGGAGAACTTTATTTATTCTACTGACTACGGAGGGAAAAGAGACTAGGCGAGCGGACGGGGGGGGCCCATGTCAACCCTAAAAACACAACCCGGAGGGGGTGCAGTCAGGCCCTGGCCGCACTTGCACCCACTGGAAGCGAAGCGATGCTCCGGTGGCAAGACAGGGAGGCCCCCTGCGAATCTGGGGGTGTGGGGGTGTCATCCAAAGACTCCCCTTCTTTGATACCTTGGGAGACTTGCCCAGCCCCCTGTCCCTGCACTGCTGAAAAAGCAAAGCAGAAAAACACCGCTGGGGCATCCGAAAGGGCCCCCTTCTTCCTTGACCAGCGAAGCCAAGCCGAGGGCAAGCGAGAAGACACTGGGAGTCAAGCACCCTCAACCCTGTCCTCCTGCCTCGAAGGAATTTTATTCGTCCAGCCTCAAATCCAGGCAGTTGTCAAATAAACAAGACGGAACAAGTCCTTCCTCTCCTTTCAGTGTTTCTGAAACGGAGCCGAAGACGCCCGTCCCATTCGCCTGACAACCGTCTGCTCGGGGCACGCAATAAAAAAAATAATTTCAGTCCATAACAACCTAAGCAAAGAGGCTGGCAGGACGCGTCCCGAACACAAGGAGAGACGTTCGCTGGCCAGAGCCAGAAAACTGCGAAGACTTTGTGGACCTTAAAATATAACAAATCGGACAATGGTACGTCGTGTCGTTGAAGGCAGCAGCACGTTGGGTTGGTGAATGCATGGTGCCCACCACAAACAGGATCTGAATGCCTTTAATAAGTGCCGCCCCTTGCCAGACCCTCCTTAGCACCCTACATGAAAGGAGACACAGAATTTCTGGGCGCCAGCTTTTGTTGTGAGGCGTAACACACACACACACACCACCCCACTGCAAGCCTGCACAGAAGCAAAAGGCTCTCCAAAAAGCCATGTGCTCTGGGAGGAAAGGAGGGCGGAGAAGGAAGGAGACAGAGATCATGCCATTTTCGCCTTTGGGACCCTCTCTTGCATTGGGCCTTAAAGGGAAAAGAACATTTTTGGGGGGCTGAGTTATGCTGCTCTCCTAACCAAAAAAAAAGTGGGTGGGTGGGTGGAGAAGAAATACAAAATACTGTAACCGGGGAGAGGAGAGAAATCCCAGGGAGAGGAAGCAAGGTATTATCAGCCCCTGGAAGAAAACCTGTGCTGGAGGCAGAATCTGATGGATTTTATTTCAAATTGCACAGAGAGGCCCTAGGCAGGAGGAAAGCAAAGTAGGGTAGGTGGCAAGTCCATGCCTCCAGGAGAACCTCAGACGCCCCACCTCAGCCTCTGAAGCAGAAAGCCAGTGAACTGCCCGGATGTGACTCTCCATCCATACCCTGACTTTCTATTCACAGTGGCATATAAAAAACAACCCAGGTGGAAGAGTCCTTTCAGAAGGGGTGTTGTTGTCAAGGGGGGACTTTTTTTTTTGCTTCCCCTCTTTTTAAGGATGTGAGCTCTTTGGGGTCTTTTCTAAGGAGAATGGCAAAGTCAAGGTACCCTAAATCATTTCCCAAGCCATGTTTTATCCACTGTAAGCATGGGGGCAGGGAAGTCCTTCCACTCAACAGCACGTAGCCTTTTCGCCTTGCTAGCTACAAAAGGAACACTTTGAATAAATAAATAAATAAATAAATAAATAAATAAATAAAAGGATGATACATTTATTGGTTTAATTGAGGCCCCTCTTTTCTGCCCTTCCCTGCCAAAAGGCAAAAAGGTGAAAGGGGAATAAAATACAGATTGCAAAGGCCGGCCCAGGGACCCTGTTGTGTTGATAACACAGGCATAAGGGGGAATGGCCTCACCACGGCCAGCAGGCGGCTGCTAATTAAAGAAGTCCCTATTTTCATTTTGCATCCTATGCGGCTTCGTTGTACTGAAGGCAGGGACTCCTTCAATTTGCCACCATCTGCTGGAGACCTTGTTCCCACGGTGCCGGCATAGCGACACAACAGGCTATCGGCTGACGTCTTCATTAAAACTTCATTCTAAAACAAACTGATGAGAAAACACCATTCCACTTACATAATTAATACAGCAATGACATAGCTACACAGATGGTTTGGATCATTAACAAGATTCACTGATCTAAAGCTTTCCTCGGTTTGCTTAAATGGCTCCAGCTGGAAGAATCTGGACTATTTTGCACCGTTCTAGAAGCACTGCAAAAGGGACGTGGTGGCGCTGCAGGCTAAACCGCAGAAGCCTCTGTGCTGCAAGGTCAGAAGACCAAGCAGTCGTAAGATCGAATCCACGCAACGGAGTGAGCTCCCGTTGCTTGTCCCAGCTCCCACCAACCTAGCAGTTCGAAAGCATGCAAATGCAAGTAGATCAATAGGGACCACTTCGGTGGAAAGGTAACAGCCTTCTGTGTCTAAGTCGCACTGGCCATGTGACCACGGAAGATTGTCTTTGGACAAAACGCTGGCTCTATGGCTTGGAAACGGGGATGAGCACCACCCCCTAGAGTCGAACATGACTGGACAA